CAGCGATCCAGAAGCGGAATGGCCGCTGTGAGGCCGGCATCACTTCCTAAGCACTACATTCATTCATTCATTCTCCATTCATGCACATTCTCACTCCATTCTTCAGAAAGGAGGCTACCTGTCTTGTTCCAGGTAGCGTGTAAAAGACCCTCATTGCTCTTAGACAGGCATTTTCTTCTTCCCCACAGTCTGACTCACACATTCTATCTCATACAGTCTGACCCGCTTCAACTTCCATCATATTTCGATCTGTCTTGGTTTGCCTCGATTTGTCTTGGTTTAGCTGTTTTTCTCCCTCTTTATTTTTCTTGATCGCTGCACGGACACAGTTGTGTATGTTAGTCCAACCTGAATTATTTTGAATCATTCTCTCAATCATTTCTCTCACTGACTTACTTCCAGAAGTCAACAAAATAATTAAACTGGTTTGGGCATATTTTTGCAAAAATGCATTTAAATCCGGGATGTAACTCTATCTGAAGACGAAGGTATTCGATCAGTATATACTACCAATCATGACATACGACTGCGAAACTTAGACACTAAAAAAAGATATATTAGCTAAACTTAAAGTAACTCAAAGATCAATAGAGTTATGCAATCTAGATATAATTAGAAGATATCGAAGAAAATATTCTAGATCTTGCCAGAACACCAAGATCATTGATGCTATCCACAGAATAAAATCTTTAAAATGGTCGTTTGCAGAATATTAGAGCAATATAGATAAGAATAAAACAGAAATTCATTGTGGTATCCCAGAGCCATCAAGAGACCACAAAGACGTCCGAATTTAAGATGGGGCTATAATCCATAGTCTATACCAGGGGTGCTCAAACTTGAACTGCTGGCGATCTACCTCAATAATTTTAGACTACTTACGATCGACTCTGAGAGACTGCAAGTGTGTGTGATGCAGGGTGGTCGTACATACACGATACACCCTACCTACCTAGGTAGGGCGTACCGTAGCGTATATAGTTATTAGCTTTCTGCACAATATAGGTACATTATTTTAGTCAAGGTTTGGGTTAGGTTTAGTTAGGTTCTTCTCTACAATATCAATGAAAAAACTCATAGTTATTCAAAATTGCGAGTTCATTTGTTGTTACAAAACAAAAAAATTACATATGGTGTTAAACTTAACTAAGAAGTGGCTTTGGATGTTGAAGCGTGGCACTGCATGTCCTCAGCATACTTTTCATAAGATGGTACGTAACCACTGAGAGCTAATCGCAAGCATGATGTCATATGATCGTCAGTTAGTCGATTGCGATATTTTGACTTAATTATCTTCATTTTAGAAAATGCAGACTCGGACAAGTAAGTTGATCCAACAAATGCAGTCAGTTGAAGGGCGATTTGCCTTACATTCGGATATTTATCTTCAGATATAAAACGCCAGAAATTTGTATCAGATACTGTAGCTTTGTGATGTATATCTGATATAATCTGCACCAACTCATTTTCAACAGAACATGAGTTCATATTAAACTGACTTGCTATTTCAGTAGCTAATTTCTCAATGTTTTTACATGAAAAAGGATAACTCATAAATGATGCTATATTTTCCAATTTACTGCAATTATAAAAACGCATTTCGAATTGTCCCAAAATATTTGATAAATCAGCCTCATAAGTATCATAATTCAACTGAGGAATCCTTGCTTTCAAAGACGGAAAGTGTTTCAGATCCTTTCTTTTCAGTTGATCTATCATAAGTTACAATTTACTTTTGAATGCGTTTACTGCGCTAATCATCTCAATAATAGTTTTTCCTTTACCTTGAAGCTCCAAGTTAGCGGTGTTTAAGTGCATTGTAATGTCAGTCAAAAATGCCAAATCATTTAGCCATTTTTCGTTTTTCAAAATCTGAGTGTCATCACCTCTTTCGTCTAGAAAAGCTGTTATTTCGGGCAATAATTCTTGAAACCTTTCTAGGAATTTTCCGCGACTCAACCACCTGACGTCCGTGTGAAGAACTAAATCAGTGTGTTCAGCTGACTCCCTATCTTCCAACTGCAACTGCAAGAGCCTACGTACACGGATGGAATTCACAATTTTTGTTGCAATGCCCATAATTTCCTCCGTGTTTAAAACTTTTGAACACAAAACTTGTTGATGTATAATGCAATGGAATGAATAAATGAAGGGAATTCTTCATTAGCTCGACACAATGCCACAAAACCGTTTTTGTTTCCTGTCATTGCTCGTGCTCCATCGGTTGTAATGCACATTAATTTATATATTGGTAGCTCGTAGTTTTTTACAAAATTTAAGAAAATGTCATACATATCTTCGCCTCGGATCTTCCCCTTCAGAGGAATGATTGTCAAAAATTTTTCCTTAGCCAACATTTCATTAAATACCATCCGAATAAAAATACACAGCTGGACAGTGTCTGTCATATCGATGGATTCGTCGAACTGTAAAGAAAAGTATGTACATTCCATGATATCATGTTTTAGTTTATCTGCGATGTCTTGACTCATGACTTCAATACGCCTTGTGACAGTCGGACGAGATAACTGAAGTTCTCTAATAGCAGACATGATTTCTGTTTTATTTTTAAAATCTCCAAATAAAGTCTCACCCGCTTCAATAAATGCTTCCTTCACCACCGATCCATATTCAAATGGTTTCTTGTGTTTCGCCAAAATATGAGATATTTTAAATGACGCGATCGTAGCAGCTTTTGATTATTTGGCTGGTCTTGTAAACATGGATTGTTCTTTTTTCAACCAAGATATCAAATCACTTACTTTTCGTTTTATTAATTCACTCTGTGGCGGAAAATCCTTTTCATAGTTTTTATGAACCATTTTATGATGCCTCTCTAAGTTACCACGCTTAGGTATTGCAACTGACGTACGACAACTAACACAAATGCACTTATCCTTCACCATAGGAAAAAAATTCTTCCTCCCAATCCTTATTAAGATGATACGTTTTAGATTTCTTCACTGCACTCATTTTCCACTATTTAATAATAAACTTTGTATCGACGTAGGATCGCTATCAAGTTAAAATTCAGAATAACTCCACTTCCTGCAGGCGTAACATTTATATAGGCGTAAACGAAAGTCTCGAATGTTGCCGTCAAACGCGCCGCCCGAAACTAGACTGTACTGTCTCTCGTCTAGAAACAACACGGCTTTTCTTTGACAAGTGCCGCGCGTTTCTTTGATAAAGCCACCTTTTGCCGCAAGCAGTGTTATTTTATTACGTAATACATTTCTGTAGTTGATAGAATATCATCCCAAATTTGATTAATAATTATAATAAATATTGAAATAATAAAATAATTAGTTAATATATAAGTTAGTTAATATTAAGTTAGGTAAATATAAAATATGCTGTGTGGACAGTATTTTGTTGTCCCCACTTCTTTGAATTGCAATTATGCTTAGTCAAGCATTGTATGTATTTGTATAGTTCAGTATTAATAAAAACGTTTAACTCTGCTGACAGTAGTTTAGTTACCTACCTACTTATTAATTTTTTTTTTCTTTTCGAGATCTACCCAAAAAGCACTCGCGATCGACCAGTCGATCGCGATCGACCGTTTGAGCACCCCTGTGATGTTATGTTTTAAAGGCATCATGAATGGTATAATTGAATGGCTAATTAATAAATTCCATGTGATATTTAATGTTCATAAATCTTAAATATCAAATATTAAAGATGCAGTTTGAGGTTTGAATGATACAATAAAACTCATCATTTCTGATATTTTGTTCTTGCCTTACAGTTTCAGATTTAATGTGCTCAGCTTACCAATGACATCTGCTAGAAATGTCAAATCACATAACCAGTCTAAGTAACGTAATTACTAATGATCATCACCCCTTCTTTAAAGAAACTTAATAATGTCGTTTAGCAAATCTCGAAATCTTTGCAAAAACTTATTGCGACTCAGCCACCTCACGTCAGTGTGTAAACTTAAATCTGGTTCTTTGTTATCCAGTTGTTGCTTAAACAGCCGTCTCTGCAGATATTTGCCTCTTATTGAATCGACAATTTCAAACGAAATAGCCACCACGTCTTTTGTGTTAAGCCTTTAACTGATTAGGACCTGTTGATGAATAACGCAGTGGTAATTAATGTAAAGTTCAGGAAATCTTCATCTTTGTGACATAGTGATATAAATCTATTATTAACACTTATCATTGCCGGAGTCCTATCTCTCGTTATTTAAACAAGGTTAGAGACAGATTATTCTTATCGACAAAATGTTTGAATTCCGTAAATAAATCAATGTCTCGTGTTCTGAGTTTTATGGATGTCATTTTGTAGCAACTCTTCTCTACTTGAAACATCGTCAAAGACCATCCTAATAAAAATAAGTAACTGTGCACTGTCCATTATAACCAACTTCTACCTACCGCGTCCTGCGTGCTACTCATACAAAGTGGACACTTTATGAGTCGCTCGCGATGATCGATTGCTAGCACTCCTAGTGCTAGATAATTTTTTCCTTGCCTGCTATCGATTGGTCGATCACGGTCGACGGGTTGGCCTCCTCTGCTATAGACTATAAGCCGGTACAACATGGCACAGAAAAGCAAATATTAGACAATCGTGGGCAGAAATAAAGAACGACTATGTACGTGAGGCGGCACTATAATCGGTAAAATACTCAGAATGATGATGATGATGACGATGATGATGATGATGATGATGGTGATGATGCTGATGATGATGACGATGACGATAATGATGATATGAATTCCTATATATGTATATATGTCGCTAATTACCCCAGAGTTACGGTTGTAGATTAAAAAAAAATTAAATTCTGTTTATATTTTTGTCCAGTAACCGTACTCTTAGTTCCCAAAAACACATTATTCGTAGCTTCCGTAAACAAATTTAGATTTACACTGTGTAAATATGTAATGCATTTAATTTATATTGTTTGTTGTTCCATGTTATTTATAAAAATCTGTCGATTAAACATAACAAAAAACAATTCATTTTGTTAAAAAAATACGTATAGCATGTGGTTATTCGCGATTAAAGTTTGCCTAATAGTTTTGACTGTAATATTGAATACGTCTGAGGCTGACGAATGTGGACCAACACTGTGTGACTGTAGTCCTGAAACTTTAACCTACAGAACTACTGATGGAACCTGCAATAATCTTAATCATATCACATGGGGTGCAGCAGGAAGACCATATGATAGACTTACCTCGGGATGGTTTGATGCAGGTCAGGTATATATTATAAAATGTGATTTATTTGTTGCAATTATCATTTCTTCTTTTTGACATAACATTTCGTTGATACACTATATTTAAAAATGTTTATTACTGTTTATGCAACTACAAATTATTTAGTGGAAATTATTTTTATATCTTCTTCTTCAGCCTTCATTTATCCAATGTTGGACATAGGCCTCATCCAATTGCTTCCACGCTTCCCTATCTTTTGCAATTCTCATCTACTGCTTTCCAGCTACAGCAGTTATATCGTCCATCCATCTCTTTTTAGGTCTTCCACGCTTCTTTTTGTTTCTCGAGGTCTCCAGAATGTCACTTTATGAGACCATCTGTTGGTGTCTTGTCTTGATACATGTGCTACACATTGCCATCTCAATGTCACTATTTTTCCCATGATGTCGGTTACTTTAGTTCTTCGACGTATTTCTGTGTTAGGAATTGTGTCTCTGAGGCTTATATTTAACATGGCCCTCTCCATGGCCCGTTGAGTTACTCTTAATTGTTCTGCCATTTTTCTTGTTATTGCCATAGTTTCCAATCCATAAGTTGCAACTGGTAGTATACAAGTGTCATAGGTTTTTCGTTTTAAGTGAATTGGGATTTTTTGTCCTTTAGAATGAAGCTTACCAAAAGCAGCCCATGATAATTGTGTCCTTCTTTTAATTTCATTTCTAGGGTTTGATTTTCCTTTTCGTTTTTAATTGCATGTCCCAGATATATATATATATATATATATATATAATATATATATATATATATATTTATATATATATATATATATATAATATATATATATATATATATATATATATATATATATATATATATAGTGGTAAGATGGTGGTGTTCTTGACAGTCAGTTTATTTGGCCCACAAGACAAAGAAAACTCTTTGACTTACTGTCAAGCTTACGAATTTTATTTAATTCTTTTTCAAGACATCTATAAAAAGAAATATAAATTAACTAGTTAAAATTGTTAATTGTCTTACTTACTAGTTGTGAGATTACAGTTTTTAATATTGTATTCTACAAAACAAACCATAATAAATATATATAAAATTTTTTTTATTAAAAATAACTATATTGTCACTATATATGTCACTGTCATGGTTTGATTAATGGACATATATGAATGAAAATACAGTTATGTTATGTGGAAAGCAAAACCCGTAACAATAGTTTTTATTATAATTTATTTAATTGTCTTTAAAAAATATAAATTAATCCAGTCAGCAGTTTGGCTTAAGCACATATGAATTTTTAATGTTAGGATGTCAATAGAAAATGAGATTTTGACGGTATTTATTGATATGTGTTAATATGTAACAATAAATGTTACTTAATTTGTCAATATCTGATCTTCTATTTACACATTTTTTATTTTTTTGTATATGTGTCATTTCTAAAAATAACCGTTTCTGTTCATGTTTTTGCCTCTCTAGAATTGAAGCCTGTGAAAAATTAAATGTGTGATTTCGATTGATGGAGTGTTAAGCTAATGCACAAGCTTGTGATTTCTTAGTTTTTATATCACTTTTATGAGAAATAATTCTGCTGTGTAATGTTCGAGAAGTTTCTCCTATATAAACTTTATCACAGTCTGAGCAAGGTATTTGATACACTACTCTAGAACTTTCATCAGTTGTTACCTTATATTCCATTCTTAACACCAAAACTTCTCAAATTATTTAAAGGATTAGAAAACATAAAAATTGCCACCAGAAATGTTAAAACCATAGCACATTTATATACTAAAACTAAAGATCCTTTAACAACTGATGAAAGTTCTCGAGTAGTGTATCAAATACCTTGCTTAGACTGTGATAAAGTTTATATAGAACTTCTCGAACTTTACACAGCAGAATTATTTCTCATAAAAGTGATGTAAAAACTAAGAAATCACAAGCTTGTGCATTAGCTGAACACTCCATGAATCTAAATCACACATTTAATTTTTCACAGGTTTCAATTCTAGAGAGGCAGAAACATGAACAGAAACGGTTATTTTTAGAAATGACACATATACAAAAAATGTGTAAATAGAAGATCAGATATTAACAAATTAAGTAACATTTATTGTTATATAATAACATATCAATAAATACCGTCAAAATCTCATTTTCTATTGACATCCTAACATTAAAAATTCATATGTGCTTAAGCCAAACTGCTGACTGGATTAATTTATATTTTTTATAGACAATTAAATAAATTATAATAAAAACTATTGTTACGGGTTTTGCTTTCCACATAAAATAACTGTATTTTCATTAATATATGTCCATTAATCAAACCATGACAGTGACATATATAGTGACAATATGGTTATTTTTAATAAAAAAAAATTTAATATATTTATTATGGTTTGTTTTGTAGAGTACAATAATAAAAACTGTAATCTCACGACTAGTAAGTAAGACAATTAACAATTTTAAACTAGTTAATTTATATTTCTTTTTATAGATGTCTTGAAAAAGAATTAAATAAAATTCGAAAGCTTGACAGTAAGTCAAAGAGTTTTCTTTGTCTTGTGGGCCAAATAAACTGACTGCACCCTCAAAAATCATAACTTGATTGTAATCGTACACAGATGTCATTTGTTGGCTTTTGTACCATCTTTCAGTTTTCTACACACAGTTGTTTCTTCTGGCTCATGGCAGTTAGTTATTACAATAAATTCTTTTGTGTCCTGCCATCGTATAGCTAATGTTTCAGTTTAATTACCTTTTACTTGCGATTCTCCTCGATTTAGCTTGCCATGAAATTTGGATACATGTTTTCGAGTACTCATTCATGTACCGACAGCAGGAAATATAATGGTATCCATAAGACGAACTGTTGTAAAAAATCTGTCGAATCAAATTACAACATTTTCATTAGAAATTGTTGAGGATAACTGATTTACGACACGTTCTCTCAAAGTACCTACCATCTTATTATCATTTTTGCCTACATACACGTTTATATCATAAACATAGCCAGTTTTCAAAACGTATTTTGTCCATAACTTTATGCCACGTTTTATGGATTTGAGGGGCATATACTATTTCAACGTAGATCGCCCTTTGACTTTTGCCATAGACTCATCAATTGCTTGATAAGTAGAATCACTTCTAGTTTTCATTAAAATATCATCATCTATTTCTATATAATAAGTTTTATTTGCGGTGGCAGGTTTATTGGGTTCGGCAAAATATAATTTTGAGAATAGTATAATTAGACCAGTATATTGCGAAAGAAGGAACTCTATTATAATGCATAACTAACATAACACCAGTAAATAGCATCATTTCTTTTTGGCATATTTTGATAAAAGTTTTCTTCTTTTTTTCTTCTAAAATTTTAAGCCTACGTTCTGTACACTGGGCCAAATACATAAACAAACTTTTAGGAAATTCTTTTAAAAAACAGTCTAAGGGAGAACTGCGTTATATCTTGGAATAAAATTTTTTGCATTGATATTAGTCCAAACAGCGAAAAATTCTGTACGAGTTGGAGGCAAAGGTTGCATAGCCTCGTCTGCATCTTGGATATCTTCACCATCTTTAAGGGATGCCTGATCTAAAATATGAGCTGAGTTATCAGTTTCATTACCTATATTCACTTCACTTTCAAGTGAACTTGCCTCACTTAGTTCATCTAATGACAAAATGAAGCCCTTATCCACCAGTCCTTTCTTCTTAATGAGCGGTCTTTTTTCGAACGTTCCAGATCATCATTACTATGTAAGCTACGTTCACTGCTGCTCTAAAATGCTGGTTAGACCAGCAATTAAATCATTCTCTGAGATTGTTTAGCCATGATATTCCTCCTTCCAGTGCTATGCTTTCCTAAAATCTTTCGCTCTACGCTATTCTACAGAAGTTGGTATTTGTTCCTCTCGTTACGTGACTTACGTATTAAAGTTTTGGTATTTTTATTTTATAATCCAGTTTTGTTTCTTTTGAAAGTCTTCGATAGACTTCACTTCCAATATTCTATATTCTATCCGTCAATAGAAAGTTGGGCATTATAATTTGATTTCTTGTTAAATAATATAAACTTGGGTTATTCAGGTTTATATTAAGCCATAACGTAAACTTACTGTATATACTTTTTGAACTATTCTATATAAATATTCAACATTCTCTGCTGTTAACACATTACCATTTGCACAACTTAAGTTATTGATAGAAATTTCACTTATTACAACGTTATTCACTATCTAATTTAATGTTATGCGATTGTGTTTTACCTATTTTCATGCACGCTGTCTAGGTATACTATTTTTTCCAGATTTAGCCATACGGCTCACACTCCCTCTAAGGGGAAAATTTCATTCCAGATACCTACTGTATCAAAAGGATTGAGCTCTGTTGGGACTCTTCCATTTTATCGAGTCCTAGGTGACTTGGTACGTCAGTGTATCTCCCAAAAATTTTCGCACGCATCTGGACGTCCAAAGTAGCACAGCTTTCTGCATGATCTTATATAGGTGTTCATGTAGACCCAGCTTTTTTATGTTTTCTAGGAGTTTCTTTGGAATGACTCTAGTGGTAGAAAGATAATAGGTATTGTCTGGGTACATTCCATTCACACCCTTTTTTTATTATTATATTATTATTCTTATGTCCAGTTTGTCTATTTGTTTTTATTTCTAACTCTTTTAGACCTGAACATAATTTTTTCTTCGGAATTTGGTAAAATTTAGTGCAAAGGATGTTTGGAGGTTACTTATAATAGAAGAAGTATTAGAAAAATCTATGTTCAGAGTGTTTAAATAAAAGGTACCTACACAATTGTATATGATAGGTTTTATTTTTGGCATACAAAATATACACGGTAGATTTACCGTGTATGAAAATACAAAAAACAATTTTGATCCTTTGTAACCTGACTCGCGTTCTATTGTTGCAATTGATTCTGCGGCAAAATCTGGCAGTAGTTAGCTATTCTACAGTTGGAAAATGCTCAAAGCGATCCAACCTTTTATCTTCAGCTGGCATTGCAGCCCTATAATTTTGTGGTTTTTTTTGTTTAAGGATTTCTTTTTTCCTCTTCTTAATCACTATTAGTAAAACCTCGTTTCGTAGGGGTTGCCAGTAATGTTTCTGAAAGTTCCATTCAAAAGGATAGAAGATCCTTTACCTTTCATTTTGGAATATTATTTATTTGACGGATAGCTCTATATTGCATCCAAGAATTTACCACCGCAAGACCCAAAAATTGGATTATTACTTTAACGGTTCATTTTCTGGTTTGAATTCAGCTTAGGTAATATTCGAGTTGCTGATGTACGATATCAACGCCTCCCATATTCTCATTGTAAGATTTAACAATATCAGGACATGTTATTTCTACATTTTTTTTTTTCATTTTTACAACACCTTTTTAATATACTTTGAGGATCAACTCCAGCTGCATTCGATAATACAACTACAGACTTTAAGTCCCTCCACTTAACGGCCATCATATTTTGTTCTTTGCAGCAAAATTGTTTACTTTGTTTACTCTCTGAAAACGATTATTTGGCACAAAGTGAACTTTAATTCAATTATTCATTACAGTTTCAGTTCCATATATTTTTAGTTCACACAAAGCTTATTTATTACTTTACTTTTTCGAGTCTGGATCCGACTACAGTTTTTCTGCCCAATATCGGGCTACGTCTACAGCCTTTATATTTGCGAGCCATAAATCATCGAGGGTGCACTGTGATGGGCAAAGTCTGCATACTCTCAGATGCTCCACGTTTTGTATTTCCCCACATTCACAGAGTGCCTCGCTATCTGTCTTGATGCCCTATTTAATAACGTTCTGTTTTACAGGGGCAACACCTGTGCACATGCGGTTGAGTGTCCGCTAGGTTCTCCAGTCCAGGTTCATTTCATTAGGTCGTTCTGGATATAGGGGGAACACTTCGGGTGGTTCGACGCTGACATTTCTTATAAACCTTTTCCTTGATTTAAGTCGGCTGATTCCTGGCGGTTCGTCAAACCCGTATAATTGGTGCCGTTCATCGAAAGTTTGCCTGAACTTCTCCACATATTCTGAGACACATTTACCTTCGTCTGGTGATGCGAATCCAGCTACCCAGTACAGTAGGTGTAGAGGGGTAGGCTTCATACAACCGGTAATGATTCTACATGTTTCATTTCACGCCGTGGTGACTTGTTGGGCGTGTCTAGATCTACCCCAGACGGGACAAGCATATTCCCCTGTTGAGAAACATAAGGCCTCAGCTGTTGACTTCAAGACCTGGGGGTTTGCACCCCACTTGCTCCCTACAAGTTTCCGGAGAAGGTGGTTTCTCGTAGAGACCTTTTGTCTTGTGCTCTGACAGTGTAATTTATACGTTATTGACCGGTCTAGTATCACTTCAAAATATTTGGGCCTATCAGTATGTTTCAAGCGTTGTTCCTCCCAAGAAACATTCAGTTTTACATGCGCCAGTTTGTTGTTGAGATGTAATGCACATACTTGGGTTTTACTAGGGTTTGGCTTTAATGAGTTTTATTTGTAGTAAGTTGACATCATGTTTAAAGCATCTTCCATTGTCGACTCTACTTGTGTGAGTGTTTTACCCTTTACGGCTATGCCAAGGTCGTCAGCGTAAACAAAACTCTCAGTCTGAGGGTGCATTGGTTGGTCGTTGGTGTAGATGTTAAATAAGGACGGCGCCATTTTTTTGGGTTCTCCATCTACTCTTCTTTCCATTTAGCACAACGTAGAAGCGTCTATTACACAACAGGGATCTAATGATATTTACCAGGTGCTAGTCAAGCACAGTGTTATAGATCTTAGTTAGTAAGGTTCTGTGGTTTATCGTATCATAGGCGACTGTGAGGTCTATCAAGGCTACTCCTACTATCTCTTTCTACTCATATCCCTTCTCTATGTATTCTGTTAGGTTCAGCACTTGGCCTGTGCATAATTTACCTGGTCTAAAGAGTATTTGTTGTGGGATTAGTTTTGCATCTAATGTTTCCTGGATGCGGTTCAAGCTTATTTATTAAGCAAGATGTAGTAAAATACCTGTTAAAGTGCAAAAACGATCCTTCTGGCGATGATGTTGTTAATCTCAAGACTACAGAAGGTCAAAGTCCATATACCGCATTTAAAACAGGAGTTTGTTTTCCTTGGTATATATCAAAATCGGGAACCACACCTGTTGATAAAGCCAGTACAAAATTTTGTAATCCTACTGGTCGTGGTTTGCCTTTTACCTATTGATGTAAAGAGCACCGACCAGTAAAAGGAATCATCTGTTTGTCAATGCAGTAGTTGTTTAATGATCTCTCAATTTGAAGACATGCATATCGAAACCATATCTATGACAGGTTGAACTTTTCATAGCCTATTATCCAATAACAGGATAAACGAGGATACCGAGTACAACCAAAAAGCAAATGGGCTCTAACGCTTTCCTTTTTTTTGTCAATAAATACATATTAGAATATAAGGCTGCTTGGTTAAAAATGTCGTTTGGAAAAATATTTTAGAGGAGTTTCAATATTTCGGTGTTGGTTTGCAAACAAATTTTCTTTCTTTGGTTTATCCTCGACACTGGTAAAACTAACGGCTTTTGACCAGGAAATTCTTTTTGTTTGACAGCTAAATTTCCTGGTTGCTACTATCCGACTTGTCACATCTCTCTGCCAGAATCCTAGTAGGTTCCTAAGCCTCTGTATGCCATGTAGGGTCAGCATTCGAATCGTTTAATATATATATATTGATTTAATTTAACAACTTTAATAGTTCAATTAGTTCAACAGATATCTTGTACCGACCAGCAGCCTTTACGTTTTTTATAATCTTACGCATATATAGTACCTCTTCATTTATTATGATTGGTCTACTGTATGGTTCTCCTGATACTGTTGGACCGAATCTCTTATCTCCAAAGAGGCCTTCTATATACTATTTCTATGTTCTATTTTTGTTTCATTGTCCGCTACTATCTGCCCGTTGCCGGTAATCAGTTTGTTTCGTGCCTGCTTTTCTATCTTACGGTAAGTTTTTTATGTATATTAGAAAGTTGTGTAATTTTTGTAGATTACCTATTTTACAGCATTTTTACACAACCAATTGTTCTTTGCTTCTCTTATTCTCTTTGAGAATTGGACACAATCTGGCTTCAGTCCATTCTTTCGGTATGCGGTTTTGTTCTTATATTTCTTTAAGAAACTTTTTAAAATAAGTAATTGGTACTGGTCCTTCATATTTAAACATTTTAGCTGTTACTTATATTTTCCTGGTCTTTTATTTATCTATAGTTTCTCTAATATTTCTTTTATTCATTTTTCATTAGACGGCCTTTTCTCTGGTCCTTCTTGATCAGTGTTTTACTTAAGTTCTTCTTCTTTATATTCTATTGCGAGTATTTCAGTTAGAAGCTCTTCAAAGTATTTTTTTTATTTATCACCATTTGCTCATAATTTACTAAGTTCTTTTTATTTTTGCTTTTGTAGTGTACAGGTTTTCTTTGATAGTTCTTTTTCTCATTTCACCCCTTATGAAATTTTCTAATTTCTTCACTTTCAAAGCTTTTTTTCCATGCATTTTAATTTATGTTCAATGTATTTTCTAACTTAATTACCGTAAGTTTATGTTTTATAAAAATATATTCTTTCGTTCTTCAACTGTCAATATTTTGTTCATTGAAATGAATGATCATATTTTGCACGCACCGCTACAATTTTTTTTTATTTTAGATGGTATCTCAATACCAAAATCTACTTGTGCCACCAATCAAGATCTACCCAGTGCACGATCAGTGAGATTAAAGGTTTATACAGATGACGAGATAGCTACAGATATGAACCATACTAGGAATATACTCAGCTGTCTAAAATTTTTTATCGCAGACATAGGGAACCTAAAACAATGTAAGAATTTACTGCAATATACGAATTATATTTTAAGACGAGTGATGTAATTTTTTGCGCAGTTTTTGGTAAGAACGTTAATTTAACTTTCATTGTAATTTATTTCTGTTATTAGTTGCGGCTCCTGCTCCATGTTGCTCATGTAATTTCCAACAGTTACCAGATCCTCCGCCATACTGCAGTTACATACCCATACCAGCCAATGATCCTGTATATACAGAAGTTGGTGCTAAGTGTATGGCAGTTATAAAAGGAATATCAAATCTAGACCTAAATTGTTCCTATGCATATGGATCTGGACCAGGTTACGTAAGTATTAGATAACGACTTTCTCTATTAAAAATAAGGAATGCAGATAGACAAGTCAGTTGCTACTTAACGCATATTAATTAAAATTTATAGATTTAATTATATACTTAATAGAAGATGTTTACTTTGACTGATATTGACATTATAAATAGAATGCACAATTTATGCATTCTAATTTAACCTAAAAAGGCGTCAAAAGCGTAACTGTTAATTATAGTTTGTAAGGCTACTTGATTTGACCAAATTCATTTTAATATAAACTTTATTTATAATTAGCAATGGCTAAAGCACACTAAATATACGGGTTTTCATCCGATCTCCGAAGTCAAGCAGGGTCGGATGCTGGCGGTTCGTACTTCGAGATAATTGAACGGTTGGAGACGCTTACTACATTAGACTCCCATAAGTTCGGCGTTAGTTAGTTCGGTATCTGCTTAGTCCATCCGGCTCTCTAAGCATAAGTCATGCACTTGGCGAGTGCCAGCCAAGCACGAGCAAGTCTCAACTTGTTTACAATATTATATTCTTTGACACTAACTGTTTCGCGTCGTGCATTAAACTGTTTTTAAAATGAGCAAAAACGCATAAACATCAATGAAACAGAGAATAAAACTCCAGAAAAGGTGGATAATTAGGTCTTGGGTTCAATCCCGTGGCGGCCAAACTTACGAGAGTCTACTATATAAGGAAATGTGCTCAGTTAAAAAAAATTGATATCGCGAGTCGATCAAAACGGACACCTTTAACAGTCAATAGCTGTATAGCTGTATTTAATAGCCAATTTAAGATAATTGCTGCCAATAATAAAAATAAGAAAAAAAGCTTTTCTGGGTCATATAATTCGAAATTACAAGTACCAGTTGGGTATAATACTTGGGTCACGTTATGAGACATAATAATTATAGAGTACTATAGCTGATCGTTCAAGGGAAAATAGACAGCAGAAGGGGTCTAGGGAGGAGGAGACACTCGTGGCTCCAAAACTTGCGGCAATGGTTTGAATTGTCATCTGCTGAACTATTCAGATCTGCCGTAAACAAAGTCAGAATAGCCATGTTGATTGCCAACGTTCGGAATGGACAAGGCACATGAAGAAGAAGAAGAATAAGTATATGTATATATATATATATATATATATATATATATATATATATATATATATATATATATAATAGCACTAAGAGCCTAGTAGGGCCCATGGCTTGAGCTGTTATTGTTTTCCATTTCTTCCTATTATTAGCCTTTTCCTTCCATCTTTCTATTCCCAGTGTTTCTAGGTCTTTCTCTACTTCTTGCTTCCATCTACTTCTCGGCCTTCCTCTTCTTTTCTTGTACCCATTGTATGCATCAGAATCATTTTTGGTACTCGAGAATTTGTCATTCTTTCTAAAGAAGAATAAGTACCAGTTCTTAAAGCTTATTATGGAAGGGAGGATAGAAAGAAAACAGGGCATGGGAAGAAGGAAATACTCATGGCTTAAAAACATAAGGAATTGGAAAAACCACGATTTCCATGCACTTTTTTGAGCTGCACAAGATCGAGAGAAGTATGCCAGAATTGTCGCCAACACCCACTAATAGGATAGGGCACCTGAAGAAGAAGAAGAAGTACTTATATGATGTAGTCTGTACAATATCCCATCTATCAACAGTAATATTTCGATTTGGCATTATATTAGTCATTATTTGCGTCTTGTCTTGATTAATGTTTATATTAATCTTTAGTCCGACCTCCAAGAAAGCATGATATAATTTTTCAAACATTATTATTGCATCATCCATACGATCGGCTATAAGGACGATGTCATCTGCAAATCTCAAATGACTAACCTTCTCTCGATTGATGATTTACCTTCTTACAATTATGTTCTAAAAGCGCCGTGAATAGTTGTGGAGAGATGGTGCCTCCTTACCGTACTCTTTGCTGTATACAGAATTTATTTGTTTCTTGTTCAGATAGACTTACGCTAGCTGTGGAATTTTGGTAAATATATTTGATTATGTTAGTGTAGCGACGATCTATTCGGCATTCTGTCAATACTTTTAACATTTTCTGATGGCTTACGGTATCGAATGCTTTCTCGTAGTCGACAAATATTAGTGCCATTGATTTGTCGTATTCTGTAGACTTCTCTATAAGCCTTTTTATTACTAGTAAATGGTCGTAAGTGCTGTATTCCGATCTAAATCCATCTTGTTCTTTATACTGGCAGAAGTCAAATTTTGCATCCAGTCTGTTTTTGATATTTTTTGTGAAAAGTTTATATATGTGTAAAAGCAAACTGGTAGGACAGGTAGTTTTTTAGATCTGCTAGGTCTTCTTGATTATGTAATAAAATAGTCATTGCATGGTTCCATTGAGAAAAAGTTGTTCCTTGGTGCATGCATTCGGTGAAAAGTTTGGCCAAAGCATAAGTAATTTTGATCGAGTTTGATCGCTTCGATCACTACTCCGTCATCACCAGAAAATCTGTAATTTTTTATATCTAAGGGAGAGCGCCAATCAAACTGGCGTGGCAAGTAGCACGTAGCAAGTAGCACGCGTCTAGCATGTTTCTTAAAATGTAACCAATGAAAACGAATAATTGGAATGAATGACGTCACTGTCATTTTGGTGTGCGCCGAATCATTCGTTTTCATTGGTTACATTTTAAGAAACATGCTAGACGCGTGCTACTTGCCACTTGTCACGTGCCACGCCACTTTGGTGGGCGCTCTCACTTAGAGTGCTGTTTTGATTTCGTATAAAGTTATTGCTGGCATTAATTCTGATTCCTGGTTTGTGATTTTGGGCAGACGCTAAACTTGTATTAGGTAGTTATTTTCTTAATAGGAATGTTCTAATTTGTTTTTTATTTTGTACATATTTTTGTTGCCTATGTTGTTTTTTTTTGTTGTTTTGAGACGTATTTCGTCTCAAAACTTTTAAACTTTTATTTTCTTGAATAATTTTAGTTATTTCTCTTATGTTGTTTTCTCTTATAAAGCGTGCATTTCCAAAACGTTGAAAATGCCAAAAACAAAATTTTACAGGAGACGGAAACAACACATTTTATGCAAAAACAAACATGTGGTGGACAGTAAAATAGTATTATTTAACTGTATGAAGTTGATAAAATGTTACCAAATTTTTGCAAAAAATTTTCATTTCATTTACTGTCTTGAAAACATGTTTAAAATCTGGTTCATTTCCAAAATGTTGTATATGCCATGATATGTGCAAGTCAAAAGGTTGTAGCAGCTGTGCAAGTAATAATTCAAACTTTAAAATATTTATGTTTTTAATTGAAGAAACAAATGGGACAAAAACAAGTTACAATTACAATAACATGCAAGACAAGTTGGTTAAAAATGTCAGTCTCCCATGTTAATTACTGGATTTCTGGAGTTTTTGTTAGAATTTCTTGAAAGTATTCACGAGCTTCTGGCAACAGATAAGGCATCATATTCACAATATCTGCCTTTTTCTTTTCAGGAAGACCAAATCGTGTACGGTTTACAGGCAAAACAATGTCCTTCATTAATAAAGTCATTAAAATCATCAATAGTGACTCCATGTTTCAGAATATTAACCCCCTCGCTCCATTCACTTAAGTCACCATATCCTTTAACTACGTATGCTGTGCCAAACTTTGATTCTGTTAGACGTAGCCGTGTAGCAGACGATATACCAAGCTTCTTTGTGGTAATAATGCACATGAAGGGATTTTTGTGGGCACTTACAACTTCTGCAATGTCCTTTACTGTGTATGCCTTGCATACTTTCCTCCTCTTTTCGATAAAAGCAAAATCTCGATCGCAACTTAAAAAAGTATGTCCTAACCTTTAAGATGTCTTAGTTTTTATTGAACAATTATTTATTACACTTGTGTCAATACATTTTGCATTTACACTAAAAAATAGGTAACACAAGTTATGGTTTAAAAGTAAACTTTACAACGAATTAAAACGAATGTTGTATTTAACACTTAACTGGTCCGGCGTCATCTGACAGACGATTCCATATTTTTAATGATATTTTATGGGAAATTGGCACTGTCTATAGGCAAGTCCTTCTATTTAATCCTTAAGCTATTGGAGCTTGACAAGTAAGTGGGTATTCGCGACAAGTTTGTCTCAGTTCCTAAAAAGTTATTGCAACAATTAGGTCGAGAGTAGTTCCTCAGACGACGCCGGACTGTTGGTGTGACTTTTTTGTTTGTCGTGCATTTTTAGAAATTATGGCCGAGCCATCAAAACGAATGCATTTCGGCGATGATGATTATAAGACAACTCTTTTAAAGTAGTACAATGAAGAATGTGATAGTGACAGTGATGAAGACGATATTTCGGAAGATCATAACATTTAATCTAAACACGATACATGTTCAGAATTTTTTGATTCTGACGAGCCTGCAGATTGTGATAAATTAGCAGTAAGTGATAATGCCAAAACCTATGTTTATGGTAAAAATCGACACAGGTGGTGTACGTCAGAAGTCATGCCCTCAACAGGTAAACACAACATTGTAATAAAAGTGCCAATTCTAAAAACAAACACCAAAATGCTTGGCGAGGCTGCGATATCCTTGTCTATTTGAAATATTTTGTTTAGTGATAACATTCAACAACATATTGAGCAGAATACAAATACAAATTTACGATCAATGCCTGAGAAATATTCTGCTAGTTCTATCCATCATCTTGGAGAAATAGATGTTATTGAGATAAGAGCATTTATGGGACACCTTGTTTACACTGTCCTTTTTAACTCCAGTCACGAAAATAAAGAACATTTATTTGTAACTTATGGAACTGAAAGAGAAATCTTCAAAGCAGTCATGAGCAAAAAAAGGTTTGCTGTTTTTTACTTGCTATCCGATTCGACAACCCTGGAGACAGGGAGGAACGCAAAAAATGATACAACTGCAGCTATTTTGTTTATATTTAATACTTTTATAGAAAATTTTTAAAGTGTATACGGACTTGGTCAATCTGCCTTAATTGATGAAATGCTTGTAAGTTTTCGAGGTAAATGCCGGTTTAAAATATTAACAAACCGGCTAAATAAGAACTTCAAATAAAATGTCTTACGGATGCACGTTATGGATATTTGTATAATGCTTATATCAACAGCGAAAAAGACTAAGATGGATTTGGTATCAGTGACGAGTAAAAAAAAATCCCAAAGCCTACACAAGCTGTGCGCTTAGCTGAACCGCTCTTTGGTAGCAACCGAAATATCACTGCTGATAATTGGTACTCTTCTATTCAATTAGTGGATAATTTACAAACAAAAAATTTGACTTATGTGGGCACACTAAAAAAAATGAGGTAGAAATACCTCTTTTTTTTCTGCCCAACAGAAACAGACCTGAAGGGTAAACAATTCATGGATTTAGGAAAGAATGTACCTTAATTTCTCATGTAGGAAAAGTGGGAAAGGCTACAGTATCTATATCTTCAATGCATAGTGGACATTTCTTTCTACTAAAAAACCAGAAATTATTTCTTATTATAAAGGGAATAAGGGAGGTGTACATTCCCTAGATGAGAAATGCTCCAAAAGCACCTCAAGCCGTCGGACCCGAAGATGGCCCTTAACAATTTTTACTGCATATTGCATATTTATGTAGCAAATTTATATACTTTACATCCGTGTTACAACAAAATCAATCCAGTAATAAAAGAAAACAGTGTTTTTGCTTTGAAGTTTGCTATGCAGTTAGTGCATGATCACATGAAAAGACGAATGACAATGACGAACATTCCACGTCAATTACGTCTTACAATTAGCCAGATACTTGGAGTTCAAGAAGAACAACAGAACAATCAGATGGATGTTCTTATTTTAGAAAAACTCAAGTTTTGCAGTTTGTGTCCAGTAAAAATCGCAGGATGACAAAATATCTGTGCCTGCGTTCCAAAAAGCCTGTTTGTTTACTACAAACCACTATGAAAAAATTGCATATAAAATTGGTAAACTTTGATTGATGCTGAAAACAAACATTTTTGATGGATTTTTATTTTCATCATCATCATCAACTAGCCTCTAACGTCCACTGCTGAACATAGGCCTCTCGCATGCTTTTCCACTTAGTCCGATTTTGCGCCATCTGAATCCAATTTGTAGTCACTCTTTTTATGCCATCTGTCCATCTCGTTGGGGGTCGACCTCTATTTCTGTAAGCTTGTATTTGGGGTCTCCATTCCAAAATTTTTTTTGTCCACCGGTCATCAACTGATCTTGCTACATGACCTGCCCAGTTCCACTTTAGTGTTGTTATCCTTTTAATAACGTCTGCTACTCCTGATCTTTTGCGTATAGTAGCATTGGGTATTCTATCACGTAGAGAAATCCCTAACATAAATTTCTCCATTGCTCTTTTCGCAACTTGTAGTTTACTCACTGTTGTTCTTGTGAGCGTTAGGGTTTCTGCGCCGTAGGTCATCACTGGCAAAATACATTGATTAAATACTTTTCTTTTCAAACACATTGGAATCTTAGACCTAAAAATATCCTTCATCCTTCCAAATGCAGCCCAAGCGAGGTTTATTCTTCTTTTCAGCTCGATTGTTTGGTTGTCTCGACATATTCTGATCTCATGGCCTAAGTATTTATAGGAGTCAACTGGCTCAATATCTTTGTCTTCTACTGAGATGTTTTTGTTGTGGACTAAATTTGTCATAAATTGTGTTTTTGAAAAATTTATTTTAATATCAACTCTTTTTGTGGCAGTATGGAAGTTCTTGGAGCATTATCTGTGCCTGATCAAAGCTGTCTGCAATAAGAACGATATCATCTGCAAAGTTAAGGTTATTTAAAAATTTTCCATCTACATTGATGCCCTTTTCTTTCCAATCTATTGTTTTACAAGCGTATTCTAGCTAAGTTGTAAATAATTTAGGAGACATGTTGTCTCCTTGCCGAACGCCTCTTTCAATACGAAAAGTCCCAGTATCTTCATTAAGTCTTACACAGGCTGTAGCATGTTGATAGATGTATCTGATGAGAGATATGTATCGGTGATCTATTCTACATTGTGTTAGAGCTTGGAGCATTTCACTTTGATTGACCGTATCAAATGCTTTTTCAAAGTCGACAAAGACAAGTATCAGGGGTCTATTATATTCAATGTTTTTTTCAATCAACGACTTAATGGTTTGCAAATGATCATTTGTTCCGTATCCAGCTCTAAATCCTGCTTGCTCGCAAGGTTGGTAGAAGTCTAGTTGTGATGTCAACCTATTAGTTATTATCTTCATAAACAACTTATAAACGTGAGATAACAAGCTAATAGGTCTATAGTTCTTTAGCTCTGTATTTTTATTTTACGTGTTTTATTTAGTGTGCAGTTTGAAAGTTTATCCTAGGAATAATTTTTTTTCATAGTGTTTTTATACATTTTTTAATTACTTTACAAAACTATGTACTTTTTCACAAATATTTGTATGGGCGTCAGTTTTATTTTAATATTTTTTCCTAACCCAAATAATGCCCAAATCTAATACGTTCACTTTTATATAAATATATCAGGGTATATTAAAAAAATTATTTTTGTTGTATTTTTTTTATAACAGTTTACAGACTACGCCCTACCATGCTACAGTACCGATCCGGATTAAACACTTTTAATTATTACATTTAAACTTTATGCAATTGAAATTACGATATTAGTAAACGGGTATGTCATTAGTACTATTCTTGCAGATATCAACTGCAACTTTTTGGATGGATATGTCGCAGTTATATGGTTCGTGTGATGCTGAAAATAGTGCCGTGAGGAAATTTAAACTAGGTGAACTAAACTTGGAGAACAGAAATGGTAATTACTATTATAAAAATGCTACAAGCAGAACGCAATGTGCCATCCCCCCTGGAACTGATGAAATTTGCTATGCGACTGGTAAATATTAAAAAAATTGTTTAAATTAAAGAAGTCTAACATAATATTAATAAACCGGCCTGAAAATATAAAATAATGTCTCTTAAAACACCATTTGTTCAACACAATAAAGGTTCAATCTATACGAAGTGGTTCAATATAAATTAAGTTGGTTGCCAGACTACTCTTAATATTTTTCTACCAAATTAACTTCAATTAATGGACAATCACAAAAAAGAATATGAATATACTTAGAGTCACTCAACACGCGATGGAAAGAGCAATGCTAGGTATATCACTTAAGGTCAAGAAAACAAACACATGAATAAGACAGAAAACCAAAGTCACCGATGTGGTGCAAAAATCATTAAAGTTGAAATGGGAATACGCTGGACGTTTAGCTAGAAGCGATCTAAACAAATGGCACAGATCAATTTTATACTGGAGACCATACCAACACAAAAGACCCAGAGGCAGACCTCCTATGAGATGGACAGATGATCTGAAAAGGACTGCTGGGAAAAATTGGCTACAAGTAGCGTACAATAAAAAACAATGAAAAGGAAGACTTGAAGAGGCTTATGTTCAGATGTGGACGTGAATGGCTAGATGAAGAAGAATAAGAAACTTCAATTAATAGCGTATACAAAATTGCATTAACTTTATTTTTTAAAAATTTATTTTGCCGATAGCGGCCATTTTTGTTTCATTGTGTCGGTCATTTTCACGGACAACATTGCTTTACTCTTTATCTAATATTTTCACTTAGGTTTGTCCTAAAACAATAAATTAAAAACCAAACTGTTTAGAAAAGTATGCTCTTAAAAGATGGTCCATATCATTATTTAATTACGAACTACCCTCAATGCCTTAAATTAACCTCAAAATTTGAAAAGGTAAACTGATAAAATTCCGTTTTCAGCATTTTTTTAACATAAGGCAAGTTGATAATGGTTTGTAATTTTTTTCTGGAAAAGACATACATACATGCTTTAAATGAAAAAAGTTTGAGCTTTGAGACTTAAGTCAATTTTTTCAAAAAAAGCTCAAAAATGTAATTTTTTTAAAAATTTCATAGTTTTTGTCCTTATATCTCTGATGAGCAAGCAAAGTAAAAATTTGAAGTTTGGCTGAATGTTAGATCCATAATAAGATCGGAGCGTTTGCAGTAGAGTAATTAAAATTCAAATAAACTGTCTAATGAAATAAAAATTAATGTATTTTTACCAAATTTCACAGTAAATACAAATTTATACTACATTATAGAAATATTAGCCTTCATTTAGAATTTTGTCAGTTCAGAAGTTGGTATATTTTATCGCATAAATCTTGAGATATGTAATGATTGCGTCCAATTGCTGTTTTTAGTTTTGAGGGTGTGATTTTCTTCAAGATTTTATGAAAAGGCACCCAAGCTTCATCATGAGCACTTAACTTAAATGATGTTCTGGGTCCAAAAGGTTTAGACAAGTGCACATAGAAGTCATGATATTTAATGCTTACAGTTTTTATTACCCCTAGCCATCACTTTCCATAATACACACAGGCTATTACATTATTTTCACTTAGGGAAATGGAGATAGCACTTGTTGTAAACAAGTAGCCTGGGATGTTTTAAAACATTTGACTATTTTCTGAGATTGGTATGATTCGAAGAAAAGAACGCATGCCAGATATTTTAAAACAAGCTTTAAATCTCTCTTCAAGTTGTGATTTATGTTGTAGGATTTCTTCGTTTTCAACATAATAATAATGAATACATTTTAAATTCTGTGATCAGAAATCAAACATATCTTTTGCAGTTAAAATTTGATTCTTACAAGTTAATTATAAACTGATTTTAGTAACTTCTCTTTTTGTTATGCCGCCGATACCATCGCATACATTTTTTTCCGTGGGCTGTTGCAAAAAAGTGCCATTCCACCTGTAGATCAAAATCTTGCTTATAATGACAGATATTCAGGAAATTTTTTTATTTTTATATTAGCTATTGGTACCATCAGTAAAATAAATTACTCGTTTAACAGCTGGAGCAATAGCTCCAATCTTCAATGAAACATTTCTGAAAACAGTGAACCACGGCAGTGTTATGTTGTTGATAGTTACTTATAATGCATAGAAGATATTTTTGTTTGTGGACTGGCTTTCCTTCAATGAGCAGTCTTTTTTTCCAGGGCAAATCCTTTTTCTTTCCCGTTTTCTTCTAAATGAAGGTTAATATTTCTATATTGTAGTATAAATTTGTATTTATTGTGAAATTTGGTAAAAATACATTAATTTTTATTTCATTAGACAGTTTTGAAGACAGTAGAGTTAGACAGTATTTGAATTTAATTACTTACCACAAACGCTCAAATTAATGATTTTTTGCCATTTTCTCAGGCTTGTAACTCCTATATGCCTTAAGTCTACAAATTCAAATTTTTACCCCTTATTCTACTCATTAGGAACTAACATTCAGCCAAATTTAAAATTTTTTACTTGCTTATCCATTAGAGATATAAGGGCTCAAACTTTAAAACCTAAAAGTCTCAATGCTCAAACTTTTTTCATTTAAAGTATGTATGTATGTCTTTTACATATAAAAATTACAAACCATTACCGCTTGCCTTATATTGTTAAAAAAATGCTGAAAGCTGAATTTTATCAGTTTACCTTTTCAAATTTTGAGGTTAAAGGTATTCAGGCGTAGTTATTTGTAATTAAATAATGCTATGAACCATCTTTTAAGAGCATACTTTTCCAAACAGTTTGGTTTTTGATTTATTGTTTTAGGACAAAACTAAGTGAAAATATCGGCTAAAGAGTGAAGCCATGTTTTCCGTGAAAATGACCGACACTATGAAACAAAAACGGCGGCGATCGGCAAAATAATTTTTTTTTAAATAAAATTAATGCAATTTTGTACTGTCTATAGAGTGAATAAAAGGTAGAAAAATAAAAAATAATTAAAAATAGTGAGGCATCCCCCTTTGGACCAGTTGGCATGGATTGGCCCTAAAACCGATGGTTGTTATTAAATATATATTTATTTAAACATAAGTAAAAAAAATTCAAAAGCTATCTAAAGAAAAAAAATTACACCTCAATCCTTTCAACGTTGCGTTAACATCCCCAGCCCTGTGCGTCCACTGCTGAATATAAGCCTCCCTCTTTTTGTCCATTGTGCTCTATCTTGATCACTTCTCATCCAATTTTTTGACATTTTTTTGAGATCCTCAATCCAACGGGTAAGAGGTCTTCCTCCACTTTTTTTGTCTAACCTCCGGCCTCCACTCAAGCAATCTCTACGTTCACCTTTCATCACTGATTCGGGCGATGTGTCCGGTCCAGTTCCATTTAGTCTGGAAATTACATCGGTAACTCCTGTTCTCATCTTAAGTCTTCCTTTCTAACTCGGTCACGAAGCGATATACCCAGCATTGACCTTTCCATTTTCCTCTGAGATATCTGCAGCGTTTTAGAACTTGTAACGGTCAATCATGGTATCTGGGCCACATGCTCCGAAACGATAAATACTCTCTGCTACAAGTCATCATGCAAAGTAGAGTAGAAGGAAGAAAAGGCTTGGGAAGAAAGAAGAAATCTTGGCTAAGGAATATCAGAGATTGGACTAACCTCAGTATTGAACAGATATTTCACGTTGCAAAAGATCCAAAAGCGTTTAAAGAAGTGATCACCAACCTTCGTTAGAAGACGGCACAAGAAGAAGAAGAACAACGGTCAATATCAAAGTTTCGGCACCATAGGTCATCACAGTTACATACATTGGTCAAATGTTTTACGTTTTAAAGAAATTGGTATATCGCTTTTAAAGATGTCGTTAAGTTTTCCATATGCTGCTTATGGTAGGTTTATTCTTCTTCGTAATTCGCATGTTTGATTGTCTCTTGTGATCTTATGATCTTTATTTTGTGTCCAAGATATATGTATTATTCCACCAACTACACTTCGTTGTCCACAATATTGATATTTCTGCTAGGTACTAGGTTTGTAGTAGAAAAATCCAGACAATTCAACATCCCAACATATTTGTGCTTCATAGATTATAGCAAAGATTTCGATTTGGTCAACTGGAGTAAAATGTGGCAGGTTTTGTCTGAAATGGGAGTTTCCCAATCATCTGATACTGCTAATTACAAGCCTGTGCAATAACAATTATGCCAGAGTTAGAATAAATGGGGAACTAACCGACAGTTTAGTATCACAAAGGCGTGAGATAAGGCTGCATACTAAGCCCAATTCTATTTAACATCTATGGTGAATGTTAATGCGAAAAGCTACTGAGGACTTGAGCGGTGGCATCACCATTGGTGGGAAAGAAGATTTGCAACTTGAGATATACAGATGATATTACTATCCTCGCTAGTTCTGAAGCTGAATTGATTCACCTGCTACAACTGATAGAAGACGTAAGCTTAACGATGGTCCTTAAAATAAACAGAGATAAAACGAGAATCATAATAATTGACAGAGCTTAACAACAATCAAAATCATCTGGTCATGATAAACAATATCGCTGTTGTAGATAAATTTGTGTACCTGGGCTCATTAATAACCAATAAAGAAGGCTTTGGAAAAGCCATGAAATACCTACCGATACACAAATGACACTAGTAAGAAGTCTAGTTTTTCCAGTTTTTACTTATGCATCGGAATCCTCGATCCTTACTGAGAAAGACAAAAAGAACATAGATGTATTTGAAATGTACTGCTGGAGACGAATGCTGAGAATACCATGGGTGGCCCGAAAAACAAATGAATCCATACTGTACCAGCTAAACATAAAGAAAAGACTAAGAACACAAATATCAGAACAAATAATAAGCTATTTAGGACATGTGCTTCAAATAAATGATCTTGAAAAACTTACCATCCAGGGAAAAGTAGAAGGTAAAAGAAATGAAGGTAGATCTCCCACACGATACACGGACCATATTGTTGCTACCATTGGCGCTCCATTGTCAGAATGTCCTAGAATGGCAGAAGATAGAAAAACGTGGAGGAACATTGGGAAATTTAGCTAATAGCTTCATGATATCACGATATCTGCATCAAATTAACGATTAAGAAGAAAAAGAGACTAGGTTTGTCATGAATTTTGTTTTGAAGATGTTTATTTTTTGACCCACACTGGCACACACTAGCTAAAGTTAATGTAGCATTGTACATATTTCCTTGAGGTTGTCCGAGAACAAAACAATGTTAATCTTTTACCTTCAATGTTCAGGCCTTTCTCTTTCCAGTTAAATTTTTTACAAACATATTCTAGTACTGCGGTAGACAGTTTAGGCGATACGGTATCACCCTGTTGAACTCCTCCGAGTGGGATATGATCCGTGTTTTCATGTAGTTTCACCGACATAGTTCTTGTATGTATTGTAAATTAAACTTGTATATCGGTAGTCAATGCGACATGCTTTTAGTGCTTTCAGGATTTTGTCAAATTCTACCATATTTTATTTTTGCTTGTGGTAGTCTTTGAGACAATGTGAATAATATGGTATATTAAATTTTTACACACTAAATAGTTGTGCTTTTACATAGCCTACACCTTCTTTACCAGTTCTCAGTATTGCATTTAATCATGGCCCACAAATGGTTGGCACCGTTACTACAGAATTATCGTTCCAACTTACAACACTTTTTATTTTATTAGCTGGATCATAGCGACAATCCATAGCGATCTTTTATCCCAATGGATTTTGTGCTCTTCAATGGATTTTAGCAGAATGCTTTCATGTATTGTTCCAGTGGCAAAGAATCCTTGTCGTTTCAAATGAACTAACAAATTGCAACTGGTAAATTTTCAAAAAATATCTTGTATACAGACTAATCTTTCACAGCTTTTAAGATATTGATAACAACTCCTTAACTCATACTGAACTATTTTAAATTATTCTAGTTGTCTTTTATTATAAATATCTATTGCTGGATGCAAGGCACCATATTCTGTAACCGAAACGAACTGGCTTCCCTTTATAAACATTTTTGCTAAATGGCGACCAAAGTATGGGACCATTTGT